CGCGCCTCGTTGGCTATCTATCATCTCATATCCAACGCGCCCTCGTGGAATAATTGTTAATTATAGGATGGCTGAGTGAGATCGTGATCGCTGTTCCTTAAATTGTAGCGCAATATACGAGTTTCGAATAAATCAGAAATATAGTCAGGCCCATTTCGTTTTATGCAATTAAAAAGGAGGACAAGAGATTAATAGTACTGTCTATGTTCCAGTGATTGCATGTTTATAGCAGACAATATGGAATCATAATGTAAGCTGTTTCCGAAATCTAAGAGGGCTTTTAAAGCATAATAGTTTGTAGATTCAAGTTTCTTGTTCAAAGTTTTGTTAATCCCTGATAAGTGAGATATCAGCAGGCACCAGCTTTCTAAGTCGTCTCAGAGCTCCTACCTTGGCATAGACCTTCCTTAAAACAGTTGATAGGTGGTCTTTAAAGGACAACGTAACGTCTATACAAACACCAAGAATATTCAGGAAGCCCTTATTTCGATAACCGAGTCGCCAATATGAAGAGCAGGTTCATGAGAGAGCTTACCCAGGATCATAGCTTGGGTTTTCTTGCTGTTGCCGGACAAAGAATTTGAAGCAAGCCAGGATGAGAGATTCTCAAGATCTTCGTAAAGAAACAGTTCCAATGCTGGAATGTCTGTATTGAATGCATAGGCGGTAGTGTCATCAGCGTAGAGTCTCAGGGATGAGAGTTGAACAGGAAAATTCAGATCGTTGATAAACACATTAAACTGGAGTAGCCCCAGGAGGCTGCCTTGAGAAACGCCACAATACACCGGTAGCCAATCGGAGAAACCTCCGTTGACCCTCACTCTGCTTTCGACCAGACAAGTAGGAAATTGCCTCCTCACCAACGCCATAAGCACGTAGCTTTGCAAGAAGCAAATTATGACATATGGAATCAAAGGCTTTGGATAAGTCGATTGCAGTGGAGCCAGTAATAACCTTTTTGGAATCTAGAGCCAGACGCCAGTCATCGACCATTTTGACCAGTGCAGTCCAGGTTTCTATTTGAAAACAAAAAGATAACAAATTCAATATTTAGCAATTAATTAATTCGGCTTTCGTAGGATATGAAGAACTAAGCAGATCGAGAAGGGCGTTATCCCCAGAGGCCGAAAGCCGGGGTGGATAATACCCTCCGAAATCTGCTTAATTCTTCATATCCTACGAAAGCGGAATTCATTAATTGCTTTATTATTCATTTAAAATAATTTCTAGCTTAAAAACATAGCTAAAACTTGTTTACCTGCATCGATGTTAAGTTTATATTCGATAGTGTACGTTTAGGTTTGTCCAGGTCCGCAAATATTCTCCAAATAGCAGATGTCGCCCTCCGAGTCGTCTTCTTGCTGTTTTTGCTATGTTCTTAGCGATTATTTCGCCTAGTTCCAGCTGTAGTTCTTACTCTTGAAACGAGTGAAGTTTCCGTCATTTTTAATAGTTTTCACAACGAAAACAACTCAACCTCGTCCCCAAGTCTTCTCGGTTAACGGTGCATTAACCTGTAGAAGGCTGCATTTTTGACGTTATTTCCTCGTTAAACACAAAATTCTTCCACATTTGGTCACCAGTAACTGGTTATGGCAAGAGCCATAATAGGACACACCAAGGGCGCGATGGCATTCAACCAAAATTGCCGGAAATTGCGGTCCAAAACTCAGTGAATCGGTTCGGTCCAACCGGAAAAGTTTCGAAAAAACTGGTCCAAGTTTTGAGGTGGACCACTTTTCCCGGACGGACCGGTCGGAATTTTGGTTCAATGAGATTTTTTCATTCGATTTTCTTTTATGTAGCGAGAGCTATGGCAGACGTCGATCTACTCGCTGATGTGCGACCACACAGAGTGTGAATATGGAGCGCTGGTTGGGGGTTAGTGTTGTTCAAGTGCCAGATACTTAAGCACAGAGTACCCCAGAGTACCTAACCATTAGGGAATGTAGCCGATTAATTGAGCGCCACATTACAGAAACACTGCAAGCCAGTTTTGCCAACTATGGTTTAATTATTAGCCAGGGCTGGTAAGTTTGAGACATGATTATACATGCTCTCAACCTCTCTCAACCTTGAGGGACTAGGAACTAAAAATTCCTTGTTTCATCGTCATTTTCACTTTCTTCCCAGGCGTATTTGAATTTGAACCCTCAAAATTTCAAATGACGATTTGCCTGAAGCACCGTCAGGAATTTGGCATTGCATAGCGCTGCCGGCAAATGTTATAGTGTAAAGTTCCCCTGGCTCCGGCCCCCAATCATGTTAGAAAGAGAAGGGGGAAAGAAAGGACGCTTTCTTTTGCGCAGTCTTAGTTGATCTACAGCCTTACGAAGATACTCGCACCAGTTGGATCTCGTAAGTATAGTAAGTAGTCTACGTGATGATAGCGCTTTGAACGAAATCAAAATATTTGGTACTGTATACTTTCATTATTAAACTCAAATATCTATGTCTACCCTGTGCCTTTTCGAATTATCATACTTTTTTGGCCTGTACATTTGTCATTGGCCATCCACAAATTATTTTGAGCTGAGGACCAGACTAAGCATAAACTCGCCTTCCCGTAAAAGGAAAACGAGCTCTATAAATGGGAGACTTTACCTTCTCCCGTTATAATAGCTTTTTTATTTTCCTCCTCAGCATTATGTAGAGCGTGTAGTGGGTCGCCGACGGAGGAGGCAAAGCCTCAACCACCAGAGGACATTGACACCACCTGTTACAGAGAAACACGGCGCAAGCTCCCTCGTAAGGTCTATGTGCAGGAAGAATCGGTTTCCCCTTCAGTGAGGAGAGTAATGGGACAGTAAGCAATTATATTGTTAATAATGAAAAAAAATTAGAGCTTCGCGGAGAACCGCGAGAACATATTAAGCACGTCACCAGAGCGGTACTAGAACCCGGGACCGCCGGATTGCGCTGACCACTCCTCGGCCACGCTGCTTCCCTCGATGTTTATGTGGCCTATATTTAGACTGAAAACAGCTCCAATGTAGAACTTCCCGCTTCTTTTCAAAAGCTCGTTCCAAGAAACAACCGCGGACAAGTACAAGTTCTCTCCCTGCCCACTATGTTAAAGCCGCTAAACAGTGAATTTGTTAGGAGCCGATTAGCCAGACATCCACAATCTGTTCAGCGGCACATACGCATCTGGGCCAAATTAGCCCTGTAAATGAGGGTATATATGTAGCATGGACAAGTAAAAGGCTGTAATGTATCGAGTGACTAAGCGGCTTAACTACTTTGAAGGAACACAACAAGTCAACAAGCACATGGTTCGGACGAACAGAACAACACATAGGGGGTCACGTGACCCCAGCAAGTTCCCAGGACCGCACCGAGGCCTCTCTCTCCTTTCAATTTTCTTCTAAATTGACGTCATTGTAGTTGACAGATGGCTGCGGGAACGGTTTTGCTGCGAATGTCATGTTTCGACAACCGTATTAATATTGACTGTAGAAAATAAGAGCTGTGTGTTTATTTTTCATTTTTGTTTACAAGGGAAAACGTGAAAACTATTATGAAACGTGTTTATCCATGTTGCAGGAAGAAAAAAATTGGAAAATCAAAAATTGACATCGATTTTCAATTTTCAATTTTTAATTAAAAATGAAATGGACGAATGACCCACGGACCAATCCACTGAATATGTTTTGGATTTTTCGAAATTTATAGTTTTCCCACTCCTGTATGGTCGTTATTTACAGACATCCGCTCTTAATTAAATGATCACATTGCAGGCTGTAAATCAGGACCTGTTTTAAACAAATAAAGTTTGTTAAGATATAGATTTAGCAAGGGCTAAAAGCGAAGATATCATTACTAAATTTGTAATTTAAATCCGTTAAACAAACTTGTATTCCACAATTCATTTAACTTCAGAGCACGTTCAGGTGACTTTTGAGGGAAAGGCTAAGTGATTTTAAAGAAACGTGAGTGAAAAAAATCTTGCCAACAAATCTGGGTGCATGAAAAACAACCTTTTTTTACCATTTATACAGCCCATCTGAGGTGAAACAGTACTATGAGGCACTGTTTTTATCATACAAACTGTAATGTGTTAGGCCGCTAAGTATGCTGGGATAGGTTGACCATGTGCTTTTGATAGCGGTGGCCATGTTAGGTTTGCAGTAAAATAGATTGAGTTAAATCTGTTTGTTTGGATTCTTTATTGCTCCTGCGATCGCTACATTGGCGGCGACGACGACAAAAGAATGGTGGTCTAATCCAGCGACAACTGGCCCCCGATGGACGAGGTGGTTAACTTAATTCGAACGGTATGCCGACGGGAAAGGGCTTATTATAAACGAAGGAACTACAGCAGCAACTAATCAGAGGCGAAGAGCAATGTTACTCCACCTTGCTGGGCCTGATATGATGTGCAGGAGATATTTACCACCTTAACTGAAAACGGGGATGCTACAAATTACGCCAGCGCTGTTGAAGCTCTCAACGCCTATTTCGTGCCACAGGTAAATTCAGCATTCGCCCGCCAGACCTTTCATCGGATCAGGCAAAACCCAGCTGAGACAGTTCAACAGTTTGTCACTCGCTTAAAGAAAGCAGCTAAAGATTGTGATTTTGCCCCTGATACCGACAAACAGATAAGAGATGCATTTTGAATAAGTGCATTTCCACTTACATCAAACGAAAATTGCTTGAAGAAGGCCAAGGACTGAACTTAACACGCACCCTAGTGGTTGTCGCGAAATGCCAAAAGATAGAAACCCAACTGGCTGCACTTTCAGTGAAGGGGGAAGAATCAGAAAGTATCAATAAAGTCAAAGAGAGAGGTAACAATCCGAGCACTAACACACGAGGGCGATTCCAAGGGAGAGATAAGATATGTTATAGATGCGGTTTATTGGGACATTTCCGTCGTGATCCCCAGTAACCAGCAACAGGCAAAACATGTAGAAAGTGTCGCGGGAAAGATTAGTTTGAAAACGTTTGCAAGACAAAGTCATATGCTCATCAGGTTGGGAGGGAACCCGACGTGA